TGTCACTGCGAAATCCTCCGCATGTTGGGATGGTTAGTCAGTTAGTCATGGGGATTAAACCCCAGAAAAAAGGTAACCCCACCAATAGTAGATGGTAAATAAGCCGCGTGTTGAAAAAGTGGTTGGTGGTTCATAAGCCTTCAATAAACCCCTCAATTGTTCGGGTCACCTGAAACAGGGCTTGGACCCCGAGAATCAGCTCTACAAAAACCGAAAAAAAACTTCCCGGTGCAGTTCCGCTTAGAAGTGGATATTTTTCTATAGATATAAGGGTTCTATCCCAACGTATGAAGGTTATTATTTTGCCGCGTTTTTATAACCAGTACTAACCCCAACTGCACCCAACTGCGTATATTTGGCAGGGTCTATTTTAATTGGGGGGAGTGGTATTAGGCAGTCTCATTGTTCCCCAGTGTTCTAGGGCTTGTTTCTTGAAACAGTGGGGCAGCCGTATGTGTCACATCAATTTGGACACCCACTGTGACCCTCGTGAGTACCACCAGGTAATAACAGCTGGTGACAATAAATCATGATGATAGCACCGATACTGTATATGATAGGAATGTCAATGGTAAATGACTGGTGACAAGAGCCAAATGTGTGTGTTTCTCAATCTTAAATCTGTGAAAGGATAAATGTCAAATCCCTAACATATCTGATATGGTAGATGTTTAATGACAATGAATGATACTGTGGCACCACCAATAACAGACCCATTTGTGGCGTATCGATTTTAATATTCAAACAAACGGAAAAAATCGGCAGATTGTCTTATATCCACTACTTAATATCCCATCATATCCCCATTACCTTCCCATAGAATGATGTGTAAATCATTCTGTAAATCCCTAAATATTCTAAATACCACCATGAGTCCATAAATTACTCCCCGAGTATCCCATCATATCCCCATAAAGTGTTGATAATCCTCCAAATTTTCCACTAAATAGCCTAAATACCCTCCAGTAGATCAACAATAGACCCTGGTAGATAGGGGTTAGAAATGTAGTTTCCACTCAAAATATCTAAAAATTGCTGATGTTCAGGTCTATGTTAAATGTACCAGAGGGGTAGCTATGTTTTGTGGTCCAAACAAAAACCCACCACTCCGTGAAGACCCTGATGCCTCATCAGTCCGTCCTAGACCTGAGCATGTCGCCGACGCGGAGATCATGATATCAATAAAGCTACCTGCAGGATAGTATCAATAAATAAAGATAGTAGCTAAATCAAGATAAAAATATATATATATCAAATCAAATCATTCATGTTTTCATCATGGTAAAAACGAGAAAAATACCATGGATTCACATCATATTTTTTCTGTAGATCCCCATGCTCCTGATCTCTCCAGGCTTGCGACCTTCCAGAGCTTGTGCCTTCCGGAAGAGTGCCTTTTCGAAAAAAAATCGAGTGGAACATCGGAAAAATTCAGCAGTCAATCGAGGTCACGAATTCGTCTCTTTGATCAAGAAATTGCACAGATTTTGTTTGTGGAAAAAAAAAAACATCTTGTGGGCTTCTAAAACATCTTGGGGGGGTAAACGGAAACCAGAAACCATTTAAAAAATGGCAATTTCACAAGAAAAGATCGGGAATTTCACTCCCCAAAATATGTTTCATGACAAGTCTAGGTCCTGAAAACACCAACAAGCCGTGGGTGCAAAAGGTTACCGATGCTTGACTGTCGTTGATGGGAAACCATCACCCTTCTGAATGAAAAAAGAGGAGGATTCCAGTCATGTTGGATGAAACCAGAGGATACAGATGGATACAGCACTTCATTCTTCCCTTCCACCTTGTACCCTCTTTGAAACGCCCATTTGAGATTGCCCTAAGAAAATTGGGTGGAAAAAATTGAGCTCCATACCTCATACCTTTGGACCCCATGTGAGGAATCGACCAATACCCAATTTCGGGGTATAAAATGTGACTTTAAACCCTGGTAAATGCAATAGGTCCTATGAAAATTGGTTGATGGGGACCGGAAGAAAAACGTGGGGACCAGAAGAAAAACAAACAAAAAACTTATATAATTATATATATACAGTATATATACATATAATCACTAAAAGTATCTAAAAGTTCCATAAGAGAAAAGTATCGAGATGTTCACTCATGCCTATGCAACCAACTGTGCCTTCTCATCGTCCATCTTCAGCTTCAAGGCCGATTCGGCCCTTGGGTGAGATGGTGTGAGTAGCAAAAAATGAATGGAACCAGTTGCCATTTTTGCACTTTGGGAGCCCACAAAACAAGTGAAACGGCCATCTGAAGTGGATATGTTCAGACAAGGTCTTGCGGTCCTGAACTAACTGACCACGGATCCAAGAAGGGGCTGAAGCGGGAAGGATTGCAGATCAAAACTATGTTTCTGTTTGCTCCCAATAAGTGGGAAGCCAGAAAATCAGGAGGAAAAAACATGTTTCAGCAATTCAATTGAGAGATGACCACCAATACTCATGGAGCCAACTGTTTAGTCACATGATTTTTGAGCAAGTTATACATGATAAAAAGAAATGGGAGACAAGCTAACCACAGCGGCTAAGTAAGCCAAAATGGTCGTCCCAGAAGCTGCGAGCCCAGTGAGATTTGGAGCCAACTGGTCAGGGAAGATCCCTTCAAAATATTGCCTGTAAAATGACACGCTACCTGGTACCTCCATTTTGTATATCTGAACAAACCATTGAACAGGTTCCTTCAAGGTCGTTTTCTTGGAAGTTGCGACATGTGGCCACCACATTCTTCGCTGACGAAAGAGAAAAGCTCTTCATCTAGGGATGGCAGGGTTTTCGGCGAAATGACGAGTTGTTGAATCCCTGTTGTTCTTCTTGTTCTTCTTGTTCTAAAGATATTTTTTGGTGCCAAATTGCTGTTCGTTGTTGCTCATTGATATCACCATGTTGGTGAAATCCTCCATTTTCTTAATATTCCGGCTGGTGCCCTTAAAGCCCCCTGCCCCGTTTGGCGTTTTGCTGTTGGTTTAGCAAAACCCCATCTAACTATACTTGTAATATCTTGTAATCACCATAAACCGCAGTACAATGATGGTATCTTCACCAACTTAGAAAAAACTATGGGGTATCCATTTTTGTTCATGATATCCCAAGTGAGTTGCTGCTTAAACCACCATTTCGTTGCTGAAATCCCCCATGTTGTTCCGAACAGAGCATCCAAAATCCCATGAAATCCCATTGAAATCCCATGAAATCCCACGAAATCCCATGAAATCCCATGAAATCCCATTGAAATCCCATTGAAATCCCATTGAAATCCCATGAAATCCCATGAAGCCCAACCAAAATCCTTAATGGATATCCCAAAAGTTCCCCCATCTTAGCCGCCGGGCGCCCGCAGCGCCGTCTGCCACTGGTCCATCTGCAGGGCAGCATTGGCCTGGGAACCATGAAAAATGCTGAGTTCATGGGGGTTCCATGGTGGTTGATTCGGATTTCCTAGGATTTATAACTGGATCTTATTGGGAGTTGACCATAGTTTGCCCACAAAATGCAAGAGATGAACCATCAAAAAGGCTGATTTCATGGGGATATACCCTGTGATAATTGTGGTTTCATGGGGATTGACGAGCAAGAATGGCGACTTGATAGGAATGAATCGTGTTTTTTGTGGAACATTTCATGGGAAATGGTCCATTTTCGTAGTCAACGATCATCACCTGAGCCAATTAATGGGATGGAATTGAATGGGATAAATATTAAAAATAATATATATATATATATAGATATAGATATGTGATATAATATGGATATAAAATATGACAGGGATGTATAATAGAGAGATATGAATTGTTGGCCAAAACCACCTTTTCGACAAGTCCCCTAGCAATCAGCAGAGATGTTTTTGAACAATTGTCTCAGCTAGATAGGTTCCCAGTTCGATGGTTTTGGGGTGAAATCTGACCCAAGAGCCATGATTTGGGGATGATGAGACAGTGGCATTTATCAACTTTCCGCTGATCTAAGAGCTCTTTTGCAGACATCTCTTGGTTCCATGTTCCAAATGCTCCAAGATAGAGATCTTTTGGGGGTGCAGAAAAAAACACGGAAAATCACATGACAAAACTGAGGTAAAATTCGTTGAAATGCCCTATTTGTAGATGTTTTCCTTCACTTTTTGGGTCCAAATTTGAAAGCCACCAATCAGCAACATGTCAGTGAGTGAAACGCGGAGCATAGATGTGGGATTTGATGTCGATTTGCAGTGCAATTTTTCCGGTCGAATTTTATGGTCTTTTTCCTTGCGGGAAAACCATGGACTTTTTGCCCAAATTTTCCTATGGATGATCCCATCGGAAGCCAAGCCTTGTTGTTCAAGCACTGGCGGTGCATCGTCTTCAATTCCTGGTTTTGGAGCTGAGGTTTTGGTGGTTTTGCATTGGCAAACCCTCTGGTCATCATGGCTTGATGCAAAATCTTTAAAAAAATCCAGGTTTTAGTGGCAAACTCATGCCATGTTTGATTACCGGAGGCTAACCCATGAAAAAAAAAAATGTGAGTTTCAGTCCCTCCAATTTTCACAGCACGACCCTGCCAAGAGTTGGAGATAAACAACTGAAACAGTGAGGAGTCCCTTCGGGTCCAACTGTTAGTTTTTCGGGGATGGTAAGACGGGGGCTGACCTATCAGCAAAATCCGAAAAGAGGAATTCAGAAAAACTTGGTTGGTTGACAGGGATTCCCTTAATGGATTGTGATCTTCCCCAAATGTTGGTTAGTGTAATCCCCTGTAATCATCAACCAACAGGGGTTGTGATCTCTACACCACAGAGTAATTGGAATCCTCACTTTGTGAGATCATCCTGTACACGAAAAATCCCTGGGGTCTCGGGTAAGTTTTCACACCCGGTTCTTGGGTTCCATATGACAAAACAGTGGAGTAAAATCACCACGTCATGTCATCAATCATCCCAAAAAAAACCAAGAAAAGTCATCAAAACCCAGCGGTTTTATGCCAGAGAAATCTATGAAATCCCAGCGATGTTCAGCCCCCCAGGGGATCAACCACGGGTCCGTTTTCGTCGCGTCGCGCCTTGTTTTCCTTGTCGAGATGGGGCTCGGCGGCAAAGTTCTTCAGCATTTCGTCTCCTTGGCAGTACCTCAAATCGGGGTGACGATAAATGGCTCGTTTCAACTGGGGAGCTCGGGATTTTTCTTTTGGAAATGTTGGAAGATTTTGATGGGAAAGCATGGGATTTTCTGGGAAAAGTATGGTAGCTATTGTTCATGGCAAAATCATCGAACTAAACAGGGAAATACTAAGGGAAAACTCATGCAGAAATCATGGGGATATACCCTCTGGTAATTTCTTACATAGCTAATTATAGAAAATCACCATGCTATGAAGTTATAGGTAAACCATCTATTTCGATTAGGGCCATGGCTTCCAGTTCGCAAACTTGGAGGATCCCACGGATCGCAACTGGTTAACAACCCTGGTTGCTTGAACAACCCTGGTTGGTCAGTGCCCTAAGTGTATACATACATATATAAGGATAGTTATAACTACGGTTACTAGCTAGTTATGAAATGGGATGATCCTCTTTTGCACTTTTCTAGTCACCCGCTCCCATCGAAGAAACGCAGGCACCAGCAACCCATGCTCGGAACCAACGAATCCCAGGTATCAAAAGCAGTTGCTCCTCGTTGTTGGTACATGATACATACCTTTAAAATCCTTAAAAATTCGCCCTAATGCATGTGCTTGGGTAGCCCTCCAAGTAGTTCCAAAAAGCTCTCCATTGGGCCTGGGGAATGTGCATGCCGCTCGGCTCTCCGCTCCATCATATTTTTCATCATATCCCTGATTGCATAGAAAAATAAGGCCCATACTCTTCCAATTTGGTTCCTATAAAAAAAAAATGGAAATCACCAGTTTTTGAAAACGCTAAATCATCTTCTGGCCTACCAGTAACTCAAAAACCGAGTTATTCGGGTCCAATACCACCATTGACATCCACCAATTTAAAGAAAAAGAACTCGTTCCCTGGAAAAGTCGCCTGGTAAGAGCTCCTTCCCAATTCTCGTTCAGGAAGGCCTCCGATATTGTTGTTAGAGGAAGTGGGCGTTTTATCCCGTGGGAAAAAATCCATGGAAAAAGTGAGGGGTTGTAATGGAAATCCTATGTCAATGGGAAATGATGGGTTAGACTCGGAAAGGATTGAAAATAGTGGGGAGTAACGGGAAAACACCCCGATCCACTGGTTGATTCTAATCATTCTAACCATATTCCCCATGAAAAATGGCCACCAACCGCAGGTCTGACACACCCAAAGGGGTGGTCAAAAAGATGGACCGAAATGACTAGCTAGTAGGTTTCCTGGAGCGGATCTAGATGTTGTTGGTCAACAGAACTCAGGCACCAACAAAAAGGTGGCTAAGTCTAGTACCCAAAAAAAATCGACAAGTACAATCCCCCGTAGTGGGAAGCAATTGTTCTATCTTTTTCTGGGTGGCTGTTTACTAGTTTGTTCTGGCAAGAATGCAAGATCTATCAAAACCTCACCCAGTTTCGTTCGCAGATAGCATCGTTCTTGACCCAGTCAGGGGTGAAGCTGGACTGCCCTCCCCCCAGGGCACACCTCGTTCCCTTCCGTCTTGATCTTCTGCCCAAAATCGAGGACGCCCTGCAGATGACACGGGGGTCCAACAAGTTACAACGCCCAAGAAAAAGTGTATTTTGTGTATGCATCTGAATAATCTATTTTGGCCAAAATGAAGGGAAGGACAAATATAGAACAACTTGAGACTCAAACAACTGATGTTTCTCCGTCTAGTGGCCTCAAACTTGAGCCATCCTCAAATGAAGGTGGTCCAGAGTCCACCAAGACCCATCTACGCTATCGATTGAAGCTTTCCGAGCTGGGAGAACTTGGTTACATTAAATGGCAGCCCGCAGTGAACCCTGGCATATCCAGATAGGAGAACCACAGGTTCCATCTTTGAAGACTGCAAATCTCACCATTTACAGTACATCAAAGACTCTTGGGGGGAAAATTCAGTGCCCAAATTGGATTGTTCTGCTGATCTCATGTAGCAAAGTTTCCAAATCATCCCTTTCTTTTTTGGTGGGGGCGTTTCACTAGATGGTTAGTAAGTGAGTAATAAATTCTCCAATACATACCATGGTCCACAAGCCTCACCCTCGCACTGTGCGAAAAAGATCCCAGTCGTCGAATTAAACGTCTGACGTGTTTGTCTTAAACGACCTGGAAGCCTGGCCATTTCCCATGGTTTCCCGTTAAAAATGGCCGGACTTCCAGAAAATCTGCTTCAGCCATGTCAGAGGAGAATCCCGGTGGCATCCTGCACCGATCGGACCTTCGGAACGTGTTTTTTTCAGCATCTGGGGAGATCCCATTTACAAATCACATTTACAAGAGGTGTAAGTGTGCAAAGTGGATGTGTCTGAAAATCAAACATCCTCATAAATTCACCATTGATTGAAATCCATTGACCCTCCGGTAATCAAACATTGCTGCTAAATCTGCTATTTACAGATCAAACCTTCATTTATAGAGCATTTTCCAGCCACGTTTGATGATGAGGGTAATGAGAAGAACGATGATAAACCGTAAGATTTGGGTGTTTTCCCATGGCCCGCCTGAATCTCTCGTCGATCTAAGACTTGCTTGCGGTCCGGTGCCTGTATGGTGACGGCTTGATGCCTCAAATACCCTGAAAACCCTTCAAAAGCACGGAGATCCTCCAAAAGATTGAGACATGTTGGTAAATGGGGCATAAAACCAACTCATGCTGGTTGAGCCAACGAAGATATGGATTGTACCAACCGCAGTTCAAGCGTTCAAGAATGTGTTGGACCAACCAGTTGGTGGTTGGTGGACCAGTTCATGGTGGTGACCGCAGCAAGAAAACAATGATCCCTGGCATGGCCGCTGGGTTTTTCTTGGAGAATGCACGTGGATCTATGCCATGTTGTGGGTTGTTTACATAACCGAAAAAGAACCCCCCAAAAAGATTCAGAAAATGTTCAATTCATCATTGTTTTAGAATCGGATTTACAATTTGTCTGCATCTTTTTGGTGATTTGGACCTATCCAAATTCCACCCATTTCGCTCACCCCCATCTGAGCCAACCCATGCCTCACCATCGATACCCCCAGGGATACAATCGGCTTCCACCACCATCTTGTCCATCAAATCTTCCTCCACCTACAAACATCCTACTTGGTGGTTCAAGCCAGGAATCCTAAGTTGGTGTTCATTCCAATTTGAAGTAGGGTAGGGGCAAGGTTCAGAAAAGAGTTGGTTTAGTGGCACCCATCGAACTATAGTTGCAAGTACCTTAAACCCCAGGAAACCTAGTGAACTAAACCAACTTAGCTAACGAACAGGGGCACCACCTTGCATGACGCACCATGCAAAAAAGAACTTAACAAGGACGAACTGATAGAAGCAACAAGAAATTGGGATGAAACCAACCATTTTCTGGGACTTCATAAGAATCACTTACATATATATATATATATTATTATATTATATTGTATAATATGATATAATATATATATATATATATAATATTATATATATATATATCCTATACCCAACCATATGGAATACAATGGAATATAGAAAAAGCAACGGATGCCGCCAACCATATCAATACCTCATGGAAATCTGATCTGGGCCTCATAAATTTGGGCATCCCCCATGTTATGCCATGAAAAACCCAGTAATTTTAGCCAACCACCTCCAGGATTGGAAGATTGGCAAATAGGATGGTTCCCTATTTACAACCCATTTTTCAAAGCCTGGGCAAAATCGTCGTTTCCCCCGGTTTGGATGGCAATCCAAACCGATTTTTGGACCAACCAAAGGACTGATCAACTGGAGATGGCTGGCCTCTTCTTCAGCTTGCCAGCCGGCCACTCCATAGGGACCTGCCGTGATCTCGGCCTTAATCGCCTGCAGCCGGTGGTAAACCTGTGGTTGCCTGGCGCAGTGACGGCCGTGAATTCGTCACTATAGTTTTTTAGTTGACATGTCTGTTTTGATTCATAACTCATAAATGTTCATAACCTGCGACATTGTATGGATATGCCGTACAGCTACAAAGCAGCTAGAAAAGCCAGCTGCTAAAAGGGCTGCCATGAAGATGTGCTTGGTATCCCATGTTCAAAACAATGTCTGGGTCCAGCCAAGTGAATAGATTCAACACTAAACCAGGATTTCAAGGTGTTTTATCAAATATTGTTTAGGGCAATGGGAATATTTGACCAGCTGACCTGTACTGCTATGTATTCATTTTGCAGTAACGATTTCTTGTCTGATGAACCTAAGCAAAACCAACACGTATCGTTGGTTGATCAATAACCCGCGAATACACCAGTGACAAATCCTACAATCGCAAAATGGTGCAGAGTCACAAGCCGTAATCAAGCTCCAAATCAGCATGTCTGATTTTGTTGAACATCCTTACAGTGCCTTACAGTATTCTTCCACAATGTTTGCTGGTGATATGCCACAGTTTCCACCCACCATGGCGCACCGTAACTTGTCGCAGAAAAGAATCCCTTCTTTTCGAGCTTCACACAGTACCTGAGATTCAGCCAGGAATTTGGTCAGCCACAGTTCTGGTCCCAGAATTCCAGTGGCTCAGTATCAAAAACCGCCGATTTTTTGTAGGATAACAATAGGATAGCCTCTGGTAAACTAGCATAGCTACTGAAAATGGCCATTGATAGTGGATTTTCCCATTAAAAATGGTGATTTTCAATAGTTATGTTAGTTTACCAGAGGGTAACTGGAAATGAATTTCAATAACTTGAACGAATTGATGTCGGCTCACAAGTTTCCAGGCGCTTGGAAGTGACTCAGTTGCTCCACCCTAAAAGAAAGTCAGCTTGAGACTTCCGCACTCCCGCCAGCATCACGTGACCCGGCCTTCCAAAGGTACTGTTGCGTGATTTTGTACCTGTAGCTCACACCAGAAATCTGTTTGCAACAGCCGGATATTGGATGAATGTCCAGGCCGTTTCTGAAACGTCTCAGCTGGAAGAAGTTCAAAATCTCGGTTCCAAATGAGCAGCATGGCTCGAATCTGGATGCGAACTGGCTCTAGTGGCTTGTAGCTATTCCAATAGTGGATTGAATGATCCCTTTTCAACAGCTTAGAAGAACCCAAAGATGTCCAAATATCAACCATCAACCAGTGGAAAACTTTGACATCGGACATCCTTTTTTTTCGTCACCGGACACCTCTTCGGAACCACCGGACTTCCAACATCTTGGGGCACCGGAACATTGGAGAAATGAGGTGCTTGATGTTGGTCGCGCATTTCATCAACTCATCCATGATCTCGTACCTCGCGTGATGAATTTTTCTGGTGATTCATGGGGACCACCACCATGGATTCATGGATGAAGATGATGATCCCGAATCCAAAAATGTACAGCAGCGGATGATGAATCAAATTCATCATGATGTGCAAAAATGTAGTACTGTATAATACTTAATTTGATGTTTCATAATCCCCACCATAAAAATGGGGTTTTTCTGTTTTCCAGAAAAACATCACCACCAAAAATCTACGGATCATCCCCATGAAGTCATCACCACCAGGATGAATCATCCACCGCTTCTCGAAATGCGGGAACTGTCCCGTTGAACTGCGATTTTTGTAGCTCTTGGAAGCCAAGCAAAGAAGCTTTCTGTCGCGTTAACAACCCCAAGTTATCATGTGGACTTTCCCAGACCAGTTTTTGATGCTCGATTCATGGTTATCCCCAGAGGTTTCGCTGAGTTTTTCCCATGGTTGATACATGTTGATACCCCAATGTGTTGCAAAATCCCCCATTTCTCCATATTTTTCTCCCATTTCCGGATCTCAAATTCTCAAATCCCATGAAAATCTCTGGTTTAGATATCCCCTGACACCCCGATGGTTCTCGGGATGAAAACTGTCCTCAACCAGCGCTGGTTGCGCCCGGACCTTCTCTGCTTTCTTTCCAGTTTGTCCAGCTTGGTTCTCTGCGCTGCCTGGGACGAGGTTTTCCTCACTTCCCTCATACCGAGATATGCGGAGATCATGGGGAAATGTGGGGAATATCATGGTGATATAATGGGAGAGTGGGGAGAATCATCTGCCTGGCTCAAGAAAAACATGGCGCCTCAGCAGCGCTTTCGTATTTCAGTTTCGAGCGCATCGCAGCTTGCACCTGAAGAGCAGCTATGGGGCCATCGAGGTTGAAGTCCAACGGGGAAAAAATTTGGCCACTCTTCTGGTAACACCAAAAAGAATAGAAATGCTTCAATTGACCAGAATTGGAGTTGGACTTCGTTTTTTTTCGTGGTTTCAAGTAACGTGAGTAAAACAAAAATAGACCATCCCCCAGTAATCACCATTTATAGGTGGTATATGGTGGTATAAACCATTCCCAACTGGGTGAGTTATGGATGGTTATGGCATTGTCTTACCCACAGGCAGCCCAAACCACCAAGTTTCCAACAAACCACGGCTGCGAAACTGGCCTCTGGCCGCTGCATAAATTTGTTCCAAAATTCGGGATTCCTTCGCGAAGGAATTGCGGGGCCCGGTGGGCTACAAAGAGGTCAAAAAAAGGGGGAGCACTGCGGTTTTTTTTATGGGAAAAATGATGATATAAATTGATATGATATAACACATTGGATTTGAGGGTTTTCCGGAAAACAATGTTCAGACAAATGTCGACAAATCCAAAGATGCATATTTCTCGGAACCCAGTCCCTTTTGTTTCCAATAAAATTTTCAGCATCGGGGGATGTGACAATGGATTGGGCTGAGGAAAAATTTACGGCGGAAAATGTGACAATTTTACCATCCAAATCTAGGGGTTCCTCCAACTGTTCCCTCAAACGAAATATGGGAAGCACAGAACCCGATAACAAACGCCAATGGGTGTTTTTCTTGTGTTGGGATCGTTACATGATAAAAATTCAAAACCCGTGGGTAATGATATGTACATATTGATGTTCTAACAACAATAAATAATAATACAGTAATACATATTTGTTCCTACACCCATGACAGTGACCCAGTCCTGACATCTTTCGCCATGGTCTGAATTTGCTGCGTGCAAACGTTGACCAAACCACAATCGCAGGAATTTGCCCCCGTGGAATTCCTCTGACTGGCCGGTGTGTGACATGTTGAACTGGTTGTGTAAAACCATCCATCCGTGTCCATCAGAGTCTATCATTTGAACGACCTGGCCACTTGTTCTCACTTTGCTGTGCACTCATGAAATCTGAGCAAAGCTGCGAATGTATGCCAGGTCGATTGCAAAGTTTTGGGAAGTCCAAAATTTTGAGTTTTGATATAATTTTGACCAAGTGATGATGAAATGCACACCATGATATGGGACTTAGCCAAATTTGTGTACGCAGAAACTGGGATTCGACATTTTTTTTTGTTCCGATACTATGTTGGTTTCAAAACCGCGACCACTAAAAACAAAACGAAAAATAAACCAATACCTTGCACCAATGCGAAGGCAGAGACTGGTTTCGCCCTGGAAACCTGGAAAGCATCATGTTTTCGAATTCATCCAACAGTTCATCCTATCGTTAGATCGTCACAATGATCATCACAACAAGTACATTGCAGCCATCACCCCTTGCCATAGCGACCTTCACAATGATCCCAACGCCACCAACCAAAAACTTGAGATCGAGTGCGTTAAAACTACCATCTCCCAGTCAGAAGAAAACACACGTACAATATTTCATGTGAAAAAAAAATGTTCAATCAGACTACCAAAAGTTTAGTTGTTCAAATAAACCTACGTCTCAAATTCAAAACTTTGTTCAGAACATTGAGGGTTCAGATTCCCAAGTCACAAATTGACACGCGCTTCACGTTTTCGCTGTGGTTTTTCCACTTTCCCCGATTTGTGACTCTGATTTTTGTTGCCCCTAGACTTGCCTTCAAAACGTCTGGCAACTGTTTCTTGATCCACAGATTCATTGATTCGTAGATTCATTGGTTCACTGATTCATTGATTCATCGATTGGTTGTTTCATTGATTCACTGATTCATTAAATCCTTGGTTCATTGAATCAGTGATTCCTTGATTCAGTGCTTCATTGATTGACTGATTTGCTGATCCGCTGATTCATTGATTCTTTGCATGGGTCAATGATTCATTGCTGCATTGCTTCACTGACTCATTGATTCATCGATTTGCTACTTCACCCACTCTTTGATTCATGGTTTCATTGCTTCATTGCTTCATTGATTCACTGATTCCTTGGCTCATTGATTGATTGATTGATTCATCGTCTGATTCATTGATTTATTGTTTCGTTCCTTCATCGATTCATTGATTCTTCCACTCATTGGCTCATTGATTCATCGACTCATTGGTTCATTGTTTCATTCACTCAGTTGTTCATGGATTCTTTGATTTCCTTTCGTTGGCATCTCAACAAACATTTGCTCATTCGTTGGTGCGCTTCCCAACTTTAACATTTGGTTGCTTCTGCATCTCGAAAACATCCCTTTTTTTTTCCGAAATTTCCGCCCCAGCATGGGCCAGGCACTATCTGGCAGATAAAGAATCGCGCGATGCAAACCAATTGTTCCAATCGCAATAGGGCTAACCAATTGTTCCAATCGCAATAGGGCTGGTGTCCAAAACCATCTCCCATAGATGAGAATGGGCACCATAACCAGTCACAGCAATAAAGGTGAATCACCAGCAGAACATCAAGCTCCCCAATATGGTACCACGTCATCACGACCAGTGATGACGGTGTCAAATGTCAGAGACAAGCTCAGGCGTTTCAACCAAAGCATCTGCTTCCTATACCAAATTCCAATTTGAATGCACCATTCTGCAGCAATTTGTCCAGTTAAAATGACTGCGGTCACCAAACCGCCTCAATCCAGCTGAAAATCCACCATACGCAGAAATGAATACATCCCACGATAGGACTTCTCGTGGTCAGCCACT